CCTGGGTCATGGCTGCCTAAAATGCATCCAAACATTCAGTATCTCCTCCCTCTGCATGCAGACACTGAACTTTCCTCATTGAGATTCATTGATTCAATTAATCTGTATGAGGAGATGCTGATTGGCCAGGGCTGTGTTTGAATCATGCTGGCTCTGCCACTGATCTGCCTCTTTGTCAATCTCAGCCAATCCTATGGGGAAGCACTGTGATTGGATCAGGCTACCACTTCTGATGATGTCAGCAGGTCTAAAGGAAACAGAGCCAGATCTAGCAGCTCCAGACTTGAAAACAAGTAAGATTTCTATATTTAGGGAGGCATGAGGGGACGAGGGGGGCTACATGGTGGTTTTTACCCTATGGGGTCAGGAATACATGTTTGTGTTCTTGACCCTATAGTGATCCTTTAACAAATAATCTATTCTTTTGTAGTAATTTATGATTCAAATAGATATTGGTAAACTTCATAAGGACACAAACATATTTAAATATATATATTTTAGTAGATTTTATATCAAATAAAAACCAGATATAGCTTTTCTATAACACAAATTTCCTGCAATTTAAATTTTCCATTAAAATTTAAGTTACTACTATTCATGGTCATGTTTTTTTACATAGCACAAATATTAAAAATAAGAAGGGTCATATTGTTGTGATATTTGTCACACACAGTTCATATTTCGAGTCTTATTTGCACAAGATTCCAATGAATGATATAAAACCTCGAGCTTCTATGACACACCAGAGCCTTACTAGGAACGCAGATAGGAACATAAATAGATGAATAGAATCCTGCTATAATTTCTACAGAAACAATGACCAATTAACTGAGCACGAAGAGATAATTTGCTCATGTTGGAACAAGCAGATCAGTGATTAATATTTTCCAGTAAATATCTATTTATGTGTTTCTGGGTAATCAATCTAAATAAAATATTAAAAATAATTAACGTTACATTTAGCTTTGCAACAGACAAATTTACGTAAAATGTGTGAACACAGTGAAAACACATTAGCATCTATTAATTAGAAGAAGCGAGGAGAAACTAAATAATGCATCTGAGCCTTGTGACTTATATCATTAATTTATGTATTCATAGCTATTAATATAGGTAATAATCCCCAGTGAAGTAAGCCATTTGTTAAAATCACTGCTGTAATTCCAATTCAATACACAAAATATCAGTCATTTTCAAAATATTAACTTCAGCAGATTTATTTACTAGAATTCAAAATGAATTTCAACTTTTAGGACAGAGTAGCCAGATGGAAAGCACATCTGATAATTTTTCAACTATTTTGATCTTAAAATTCACTTTGAATTCATTTTGCATTCTTACTGTAGTGTACTGTTAATGTTGCCAAAATGTAAACCTAGATTTCCATAAATTTTATTATTATTCTAATAAACAGAATTCTCCACCAGATTTCTTTGCAGACGTTATGAGGACATTGTTATGTCAAAGTGATGCTAGGAATCGGTTGCTCCAAATTTCACCTTATCCTTGCCATATTTTTTTTAATTAAATATTTAACACCAAGATTCCAACCTATTCATAGCAGTCTGAACCAGGCAGGAAACACACAAACTCACACAAAGCACAGCTCCTGCAGATTCCGTCATGCACCCCAAAAAGACGGCCCGTCCATCCTGATTTCCTACATCCCATCCCTGCACATGAGGTTTAAAAGAAAATATATTGAATGAAAATTATTTCAAACCAAGTTTTTACGACCAGTGCTTTGGCACCACGACCAACACAATAAGTTGCAGTGGTTTTATTGCATGGAGTGTCCCTTAATACAGTTAGAGTAAGGGCTACAATCAATTCAATATAATATTTACTTTAAAGGCATTCGTTTTTCAATACACGTGGGCCAGTGCTCCACTCCGCTGTTTATTGTTTTGTTCCTGGGAGACTAGGTCCAGACCAGGGTTTGGACTGTCTCCAACCCACTGCTCAGCTGCAGCAGTGGGAATAAACCCCTCCCTGCTAGGCAGGTAGGGGAGAATGTTTGTTTCTCTCTGGAAGGCTGGAAGCAGCAGGTTAGCTAAACACTGGAGTGCAGAGAGCTGACAAGGACACTAGGTTGGTGAAACCAATATTGTTTTGTTATAGCTTAACCCTGAGAGATAGGGAATCTGATGTTAGTTAGTGCTCAGACGAGCTAGGTTTTTGTTTATAGGGATATGTGTTACATTATTGTTTTTTTTTCATTTGCTGCTGTCTCTGTGGTGAAGCTCAACAATAAAGTGCCTGGAATTAAGTTACTTTTAAAGACTGTGCCTGTTTGTACCCAAAAGGATCGTGCTAACTGCAGACAAGAATCACAATATGGTGGAGAATGCGGGCATGTTAGCATATAGAGGGTCTGTGGGTGTGCCAGTCATCTGTTAACCTGCTTATTGAGGACTTTTGTTTGGCAGATCTGTTAAAGGCACAGCGCTACTTGTATGTTTAAGACTGTTACCTGCTTGGTGCTATAATGGAGGAACTGGTGAAAGCTCTGGTACAGGCAACCGCTGTACAACAAGAAACAAATCATCTACTGGTTACACAGGTTGAGAACCTGAAGGAAGCCCAGCAGATGGATAGAGCTGCCCTTACTGAAGTGTTGCAGTGAGTGATATTGCCATCTGCAGGGAGCCCCCCTTGGGATAGGGGATCCCGTATCCGTGCCACTGACTTCATGCATAAGATGACAGAGGTAGATGATGTGGAGGCTTATCTCACCACTTTCGAGAGGGTTGCTGCCCGGGAAAGATGGTCATTGGACCAGTGGGCAGGGCTTCTAGCTCCATGCCTGAGTGGGGAGTGCCAAAAAGCCTATGAAGACCTACCTTCCGACCAGACCCAGGATTACAAGCAACTAAAAGCTGAAATTCTAAAGCGCATAGGCGTAAAACCAGCCATTAGAGCCCAAAGATTTCATAATTGGGCATACGACGTGAGTAAACCTACCAGAGCCCAGATGTATGGATTGCTCAGGCTCGCTCAGAAATGGCTGGAGCCAGAGCGCAACCCTGCTACCAAGATAGTGGAGATGGTTGTTATGGACTGTTTTCTCAGACACCTGCCAACAGGACTGCGACAATGGGTCTGCCAAGGGGACCCTTAGGATCCAGAAGCAATGATGTGCCTGATTGAGAGGTATTTGGTCGCCAAGGAGCCATACAGTATTGATCCTCATCAGAAGTCCCGACCGGCTAACAACCGGATAAGCGGGAAAGTGGGGAAACAAAGGACAAAACTTTGTACCGAACCTTGGACCATATGACCGGGGTGGCAGAAGGTCCCCACAAGTTCCATTACGACTACAAGACCAAGCTGAGGGACAACTCCGGTGCTTTAAATGCCATGAGCCTAGACATTTTGCACGTAACTGTCCAGAGAGTGAAGAGCCCATGCAGTGTGATGTAGGAACAAGGGCTCTGCATAGGACTGTATTGACTTGCTCAAAGATGTGTGTGGTGACTAGCAGAGGCGGCTCTCTAATTAGGCGATTTAGGCGGCCGCCTAAGGCCTCGTACTGTGTGGGGCCTCGCGGCCGCCTAAATCGCCTGAGGGCAGACTGACATGTCGGGTCCTCGGTCTATGACCGAGGACCCGACACAGGAGGGGGCCCGGCGGCTTGCCCTGTATGCCGCCGGGTGCGAGGCCCCTCTTGTCAGTCCGCCCGGGTAGAGCCGGCCTTCAGTCTGCAGCTCCGCCGGGTGTGAGCTGCAGACTGAGGTATCTCGCACTCTCCAGCCAATCAGAGCGTTGCCGCGGGTTACCACGGCAACGCTCTGACTGGAGATCGCGAGACACTCACCACGTGGTCTGCAGCTCTGCATCCGGCGGAGCTGCAGACCGGAGAGACCACTGGACCACCAGGGAGCCATCCAGGACACTGGACCACCAGGGACAGATTGACCCCACTGGACCACCAGGGAAAAAGGTACATTTTGATCCCCTCACCCTGCACCCCACCTGTCACCCCCTACCCTGCCACCTCACCCTGTCACCCCCCCCTCAACCTGTCACCCCCCACCCTGTCACCCCTGTCAACACCCTGTCACCCCCTCTCACCCTGTCACCCCACCTGTCACCCCCC